TCCTATATGTTTGCTAATCTCTCTTTGCAGTGCCTGGGAGATACATAGTGTGTTCACTCTTCTTTGGCCAGGACTGATAAATAGAACTGTGTCTCTCATTCCTTCTTTCAGTCATGTGGCATTTTGCTTTCACCAAGCTAATCATGCACATCCATCACGAAACATAGAAAAGTGGAACACTTTACATTCTGCATGACCTATGTCTGATGCCATTTTTATGCAGGTTCTTGGGCCTGCTAGGATGGTTTATTGAGAACAGCATCACTAAGCCATCGTAGACTTTGATGGCTCCTCAGTTGTTTCTAATGTGGTTACCACCTCTCCGCACTGGCAAAGAAAAATTGAGCAGCTGAGGCATTTCTTGTGTGATACTGCACAGACTCATTTTTAGGCCAAGAATATGATAGAATCCAACAAATAAGTGCTGAGGATGTCTGTGTTAAGAAAAGCAAGACAATTGAGTTCATGGACTAAGAACTGACCTTGCTTTGCATCCTGGATCTTGTCTCTTCCACTCTCTACTATATGGTTTGGTTGCTCAAATTCACTGAATTTTAATTTTGTTATAGGGGAAGTCTAGAATAATATTATAAGCTAATTACAAGGCTTTGAGTGAAAATTAAATAAGTATATAAAACACCCAGGACAGTTACTCTACTGGTGAGTCCACAGATGGCTGTGTTTGGGGTTGTTAATTTTGAGCAAATGTGGTTTTAACAACATGCCTTCTGTCTGTGTTTACATTGGGAATTAGCAGTAGTTTCAGTCTGCTGAAGTTTCAGCTCTTGTCTTTATCTGCCTATTTTTCCTAAAGGGACAGGTGAAGTTCAGTTTCAAAACACTGAGCCTGAGGGAGAGGATGGGTCATTTGAGCCCACTCTACTTAAAATTCTTCTGAGATAAGACATTCAGGAAAGGAAATTATCCTGTCAGTAGTACTATCTCGAAAGTAATGGGGATCTTAGGATTTACTTTGAAATCTGTAGTGTGCATTCTGCCCTGGGCAGAGCTGAGGTTTATCAAGAAGAGAATGTTAAGGTGGGATAGCTAAACAGAGGAGCAGAACACAAGGTAAGAGTTAAAGCTATCACAAGGGCTTATCTTCTTATCTGTGTCCTCTTATTCAAGCAAAGTGTCTAGTCTGGTGTGATTAGGGCTCCATAAATATGTGTTAAGTAAATAAACAGCATATCATGAGCTTTAAATGTAATTAATGAGTAACTATAGCATGTGCTTTTAATGGAGAGACTCCTGGGAATTGATTTTTCAATCACCTATTTCAGAATTTTATTAAAGACAAAAAATAATGTAGTATCCTGAGTAAATGAGTTCCCTTACTAGGTAGTTTAATAAATATTTATTATTCATGCGTGAGATTCTCAATGATGTGTTCACCTCAGGAATATTAAAATCTCTGGCTTAATGGAAAATAAAAATTAGTTTTTATGTGATTAGGATTAGAACATTATTGACAAGTATATTACTGTGTATTGAAATGGTTATAATTGCTTTAATGATATATTGACTACACTTAAGTAAACTCAGACATTTATATTGCTAAGGTTTATATTTTGGGAAAACTTATTCTTCCAGTTTTGGTTAAATTCTCAGGTTCACAGTAGTTTCCATTACTTAGAAAAGTTCAGTTGAACACATGCATTTAAGGTAAGCATGTTATGCTGTAAATTTCCCACTGGGAATACTGACTGGCACAGAAGGCGTAACAGTAATTTTCCATCATGGGACATTATAATAATGTGAATTTCAGGGTAGAAACATGCTGTAGCTTTTTTTTTTTTTTTAATGCTATTTCCCAGGAGATTTTCCCAGGAACTTTGAGACCTATGCTGCCATTTGTGGGGCTATTGCCTTTTCTAATACTACATACTCATGGCCAAGGCTCTTCTCAATCATTTGTGCATGTTCTGAGAAACAACACAATTAGCTGTACCACAGATGCTATAAAAAGGATGATATCATCATTAAGATTTAAAGAAACATAAGACAGCACCTTTCTTTCACTTGTTTAGATGAGGAACTAGTAATTGTGACTTTCTTCTCTCACTGCAGCCAAATCTTTAAATCAGTCATTTCCTACAACTGTTGCCAAATCACTGAGTCGCTCACTTCAGTTGGACCTACATTGAATCAAAATGATAAATTCTTGGGTCACTGTTTTTATAGCTAAATTTCTTACTGCTTTGAACTCATCTTTTTTCTAAGGAAAAAAACAGGTTGTTGCTTTTTTCCCAAGCTCCAAAGTCCCATTATGGTTACTAACAGCAATTTAGAAAGCATTTTAACTAAATAGCCTGGGCTTCTGTCACAACAAGGGAACTCTGAAGTAAATCTTCCTTGTTTATCAGTTGTCAACTGCCAATGAGTTACAGATAATTAAATGTGAAGATGGTTTATGGCTCAGAAAAATAGAACAGAAAGGTCTTTAAGTTGATGTGGTTATCCCTCTCTCCAGTATTTGAACTAATGCAAGAAATTGATTATTTTCTGGTGAAATAGGCAAAGGGGAACTGACATTGTTTGTTACTTGCAAACTAAATACAGTTGAGGCTGTTTTCCAGCTAGGATCCCACTCTCAGTTTTATTTCAGCCTAGGTTAGGAAAAATGAGGGGGGGGGAAGGAGATAGAGATGAGAGAGAGAGAGAGAATCTAAACTGAATAAACCATGGTAGAAAGGGTGAGAAAGGATAGCTGGGGAGTGTGAACACGAAACATGCTAGATGGATTTTTCACAAAAAAAGAACCTCAATTCAAGGTACCTAAAAGTTTCAAGCTTTTTCTTTAAACTCAGGTAATCAAAGTAGTCCAGTGATAATACTGTTCCAGGGTTAGTTCAGTGACTCAATAACTTCTTTAAGATCCCATTTTTTGTGTTTTTTTTCCTTCACATTTCTCCTTGTCATTCTTAGCTAGCAACCTTCTTGGTAGATATAATTGCTGTAAATGTCTGGTTACTGAAAAAGAAATCACCTCTATTTTTTTTTCCAGTTTTTAAGACTCAATAAATTTCTTTCAATAGCCCTGTAGAAAATTCCTTTTAAATTTCACTAGCCAGAACTAGTCACATGGCTACATTTATATACTCGCTGACTAGAATTTGGGACCAGTATGGTTGACATAGAGTGGCCATGCTAAGGAGAAGAGATGGTTAGTATCTATTTAGACAATCCAATCAACCTGGTGAAAGGCTTAGACATTGATCCTCCACTGCATGCTGGTGACACCCTTTCATCTATGTATTATTACCAGTTTAAGATAATGAATTTGAAACTGGAAGAAATGAGGTAGATTTCCCAAAATAACATATTTAGTAAGTGACAATGCTGAGATTTCAACTCCGAACCATGTGACTCCAATTCGGTATTCTTTCCACAATGCCACACTGTTTCCTACACACCACAAATTGCTTTCAGTTTCCATTCTAGGGATCCTTTATAGCATCTCTATGCTTTTTTTACTTTAGATTAAACTTTCTTCTTTAGGTCTAAACCTTCTTTAGAATAATAGATAAAACCTATTGTTCTTCTTCATAATAGAGATTATGTCTATTCTCAGAGTAGATATAATGACCCATGAGGATTTGAAATCTTTACCTACATATTTGATAGCTCCAGTAGAAAATTAGTCATATAATTTTACATGTTTGTGGGTTCTTTATTCTTTGATTTCAGTTTAATTTATCCATATCCAAATGCCCTCTCTGCCAAAGAAATCCCTCTTTTGGGGTCTCTCAAAAGCAGTAAAGGTATATTTATTCCTCAACTTAGCTTAGAACTTTGGAGAAATTGGCATTTTCCCTTTATCACAAACTGAAGCACATACAAAATAATTCCATACCCTTTATTATTTTAAGTATTGATTACATTTACTGTTCTTTTCCAGTTCTAGTATGGCAAGTGTTTACTGACACCATATCTTCATAACCAGAACACTCAGTCTTTCAGTCTTCCAATTCTCACAAGCCAAAGTTATTCTGGATACTCAATTTATTTTCCTTGAAAATGCCTTATTTTATTATTGTAATCTCCTACTCAAATAATTCAAGTAGTTCTAAATACAAAAACATTAAGCATATTGATGTTAAATATAAATCCCATGATCTAGTTTCCCCTTTTATCTCCCTTGTGTAAGGAATTGTGCTTACTTTATTGTTCGATGATTGATGTATTATCTGCAGTCTCAGTAAATAGTTAACCTGTGTAGCTAGTATCACTATAGTTCAGGTATTCTTTTAATCACTTTGTGTATGTTACCAATTCAAGTCTCACAACTACCCAGTGATTGAGGTCTTATTATTTATTATCTCTACTTTATAGTTGCGGATGCTGGAGTTTAGAAAGCTACATAAGTACATATACAAATGAAATGATAGAGCCAAAATTCAGAGTTTAGAAGCCATGAACTCAGTTACATTTTTACCACTTTATGACATGTATTTGTGGAGGAACATTTGACTAAGAGATATTAGAGAACATCTATTATGCAACCCGAGATATACTCTGCCCCTGATGTTTTGCAGAAAATTTGCCCAACTGTGAATTGCATCCCTTGGGTGAAAATCTTTATATAACACTAGGATTTTAGAAAGAAAGGCAATTTGTGTGACATTTGCTTTGATTCTGTATTCTTGCACATCTTCTCAGATCTTGGAGTTTTTCATGTATTACCCTTAACCTTTTCTCTGGCATGGACTGACCTTCCTGAATGACATTCCACCAGCCTTTTTTGCTCTTCTCATGAAGGGATCTGTTCTCGTTTCTGGGTCAGATAAAACTTTAACAATGTCCTGTTGATTTACTTGTTTTACTTCAGCATAAAGGCAATAATGTAAAATATCCATTAACATAAATAATTTATTATTATAGTAGAAAAATATTGACTTTTTTGGTAAATATTTCTATAAGAATTTTCATTAAATAATAGAATTATAGAATCAAAGAACCAACATGCTGTTTTTATGTGTGCTGTTCACATATTTCAGAGCTTCGAGAAACCAAGACCTCTGAATACTTCAGCCTATCCCACCACCCTTTAGACTACAGGATATTACTAATGGATGAAGATCAGGACCGGATATATGTGGGCAGCAAAGATCACATTTTGTCCTTAAATATCAATAATATAAGTCAAGAGCCTTTGAGTGTAAGTTTGTCATTTTTAAGAGGGCAGTATTGAAATTCTAAGACTTTTTAAGAACTTTAAAATACAATGAGAATAATATGTACTTCATTAGAACAACAAAAAATAATGGCAACATGTCAATATATGTTAAGGAAATTAATTCTTTTTTCATGGATAAAAATGTATTAACCTCAGTTTTCTCTGGCTAGTTCTTTAGATTTTTAACAATCAAAAACCTAGAGTTAAATGAGAAAATACTTTCTGTATTTAATACTTCATATATATATATATATATTATATACTTCTATATGTATATAGAAAGGAGAAAGAGAAGCATGGAGCATAGTATAGAAAAAATGGGCAGATGAGAGAAAGAACCCTGTATTCTGTGCAAAAATGCACACAGAGCTTGAAGTAAGCACAACTATTAATGCAATTTTTGAACAAGTGTGGTTTGTATTTATCATTCTGTTTCCCAAAAACAACATAAAATTGAACTTCATTGGAGTAAAAAGTAGAAGTAGATTAATTATAAATTTATTAAAGAAAAGCTTCTGCTTTTTTTTTTTATATTAACCTGAGCAACAGGCTGACAACTCAAAAAAAAAGTGATCATTACTGCCAGACATGACCCAAGACTGCAGTGTCTTACAATGCTAGCACAGTATTTTAAACAGAAAAATCTCTCGGATTTTACCCAAGCTGTTTTATCTGTTAAGGTTCCTAGAGGTCCACATTAAGTAAATCTGTGAGTCCAGCTGTGTGGTTTGACAAAAGTAATATTGAGATAGCAGCATAAATAGAAGTTCATTGTGACTTAAGCAGTTGGGAAAAGTTTACTATAAATAAAAAAGAGTGAAATATGCATTATATTGTGTTCATTAATATTAATAATAACCTTATTTTAATATTCAATTAGTAAATGGCCATGTATTATTGAAAGGCTTTCTTTTTTATTGTTTATGTATTTGTTCATATGTGTAGACTCTGTTTGGGCCACCACTACCCCCTGCCCCCTGATCCCCTTCTCTTCCAGGCAGAACCTGTTTAAAGAAAAAAACTGATAGAAGAAATAAGCAGATAAATGTTATAATAACATAATAGAGTATTAACTTGAGTTCGTAAAATGAAAGAAGATGAATTTTGAAATGTAAATATAGAAATACTTTAAGAAAATGTTAGCAAAGAAGCAAATGAAGAACATTGAGTTGTCATATATCAGAGTGAGATTATGCAACTTTATTTTCCTTTCTGAGCAGGTTTTCTGGCCAGCATCTACAATCAAAGTTGAAGAATGCAAAATGGCTGGCAAAGATCCTACAGTGAGTACTTTTTAAAAAGAATTAAAACACACAGTATGTGGTCTTTAAGTCCACATACTCTCTGTGCAGCCAAAAGAGAGACAAAGGGTGCTGGTGTTTTACATCCTTGTCTGGACACATGTTAAAAATGTAAATGGGAAGAGATTCGAATTCTCATACCATTTGTAATTTTAGAATTCTTGACTGGGTAAAATCTCCTGCCTTGCTTTCATTATTCCATGCAGACACTTTTCATGATGGATTTCAGTAATAAACCCTGTTCCAAGTGGATGCAACCTACAGAATTCTCAGCAGGCTGCTAAAATAATGATAATGCAAGTGTCTGGAGTAGCTCCCAGACGCCATGTGGGCTTTCCCAAAGATTCTTGGTGAAAAACTCGTGGTTAGCTGGCACATTCCAGACATAAATCAACTGCGATGAGTGATACCTTTGTTGATTAAAAATAACCACAAAACCACAATCAAAGCAGATTTAAGTATCAATAAAGGTTCAATGCAACACTTGTGCAAACTGTATTCCATGAAGTGGGATTCATTATAGAGTAACCCAAGAAATCTATATTGATGTCTATGATCAACTTATTGATGTTGACAAATTAAATTATTCTTGAATATCATAAAAGAGATGCATGGAGTTAATCTTTAAAATGAACAGTGTTTACAATCAAGTGTATATATCATTAACCTTTTTGTTTCGAATCATGAAAAATAACTTAGTGGAACCAAGTATCAAAATCATCTAGTCCCACAAATAATGTGGTAGAGAGGTTCCTTCATTCATTTATTCTTTCAATTGTTCATTTAATAAATATTTTTTGAATACCTATATACCTGGCCTAGTGTTAGTTGCTAGAGACATTATCTGTGCAAAAACAACTTAGTTCTAGCTTTAATTATCCTCATTATCTGGTTGGAAAAATTAATATCAATCAAGTGAGCCTGGAAATAAATGCCAATTAGCAAATGAGATGGAAATGTGATGACTGGGTACAAAACCTAGTAAATTTTAATACATACATCCAAATCTTAGTTCGTAACAAATAATAGCCTTAACTTAGTGTCAAAAATGTAGGCTCAACATTTATTTTGTGGTAGAGGCAAGAAATGCTCAGGAGAGTGAAGTTTTGTGCACTGAATCTTAAAATTGATTGTTTCAGAGATCCAGCAAGCTAGGCCAGTTGTGGGGGAAAAACCTAATCCTTGATGAAGTGAAACTTTTATTTTGATTGACTAAAGACAGTCAAAGTGTAAAGTTCCAAATAGGTCTGACTCAAGGCAGGACCACACAAGACTTTGGAATGTAGGATCTCTGAGTATCACTCAAGTGTTCTTGGCAAGAGAGGTTACCAGAAGTAACTAAATTCTGGGTCTCACTTTAAAAATTTTATCAGATATCCAATAAGGTGAATTTAAAAGAGGGAACAAGAAATTTTCCAGAGCATATTTGCTATCCAAGGGATCTAGAGGAGGGGAAACACACACACACACACACACACACACACACACACACACACATAGAAGAAACAGTTGAAAGAGTGCATTACAGTATTACAAAGACCTTTCCAGGGAACCAATAGTAAATGAAGTATCATGTGGAGAATGTTTTGTTCCCTGAAGCTGTTATTTCAATAATTGGGCATGAATTAAACTATTTTTTTTCATTTTCTAATGAATAGATTTTTCCCACTGATGCATATCTGATCATGTCTTGCCTTTTACCACAATAATATCCTGTGGTGATAGTACTCAGTCTGACTATCTTTTGTTCAAAAAGATTTGTATTTCTTATTTATAGAAACTGCTATAGGAAGAATATGTGGACTATAGATATCTTTATATATTCTATTTCTAAAAATTGCTGTTAACTTTCTCAAAAATCTTAGTCAAGTCATTTGATCTCTTACTCCATTTGGCAAAATAGAAACCTCCTATTGTTTGCTTTGTGATAATGAAAAGTTATCCAATAAAATCTTCAATAGATGCTTGTATTTTCCCATAGCTTTGTTACGCTATAACGTCATTAATGGATACCTTTAAATCCTATATGGTCAATTGCTATATACTTTGGAAATAACTAGTGGAGGGATCCATTTTGGTATTTTTAGGACTTAGTCAGGTTTCATTTGTCCATATAACATTGCTGAGTCCTGAGAAATGAAAATCAGACAGATTTTTTCAAACATGTTCTATCTATGCAGGAGCAGAGAATGACAAATCCAACTAATTTCGTATGTACAAGGCATATACAAAATGTCTTTTGATTCAACCACAGAAAAAATAAGCCAGTGGTAGAAAAATAATGAGAGCTAGATCTTCATAGTACAGCCTATTTTTATTATATTTCTCATTGAAATCAGTCAGGAATGTCTTAACCCTATCTGAATAAATGTTGCTCAATTCAATATTTCATTTTTAAAAAATGTAGAAATTGAATATTTAATATGCACAAGTCAGTTATTGTGAACAAATGAGAGGTGAATAAGCTGAACTTCCTACATTTAAGTCTTTGCAATATACTGGAGGTGATGAGACATACATGCAATGATAATGCCCAGGATTTAATGGAATAGGCCAGATAATCTCCTAAATGCTTTACTCTAATCCTCCTAACGATGCTACATGCTAGACCTTATTGTCACTGGCCACATTTTTTTAAGATGAAGAAAAAGAGCAACTAAGAGAGTGAGGAATTGGCTCAAAGCTGTACCATGAGCAAGTGGGGCCGTTTGAATCTGACTCAGGACATCGAGGTCTTGAACCTACACCTTACTTGGATAAATCATACCACCTCTTCAAGGGAAAATGTAAATGTTAAGAGTAATACAAGACAAAGGAAAATAGGGAGCTGGAATAATTTGTAAAGTTTTGCTAGATCTGATGGCCATCACATTAGATCTTCTGTTAATCTTTCTCCTTGTTTTATTTCAATGATTCTGAAATTCAAATACTCTATCCTGCTTCCAGCCTTTCGTACTTACATATGAGTCTCATCCCATCTCTTTAGCTTGGAAAACATCTACTCATTCTTTCAGGTCCTAGTGCATAAACCACTTCTTTGTCAAACAGTATGAGCTAGATGGCTGTCTTGCATGTGCTGTCCTAAAACACTGTTACACTTATTTTGTGGCATTTTTAAATTTATCTCTCCTTACTGATTGGAAATGTTGCATGACAAATGTCACTATCTCCCATGCCCAGGTCTGTACCTAGGCATTTCATAATTTTATACCAGCTCTCAATTAGTAGAGGTAGAAGCAGGTAAACATGGGAATCTGTCTGATTATCAGGTGCTGGAGATGTGGCATGGTGTATGATGCATTTATTAATACTTTCAGATTAATGATGTTTACATGTAGAAAATTTATTATGTACATATTTTAGAAGTAGATTTTTGTTCAATTTTTCTGCTTTTAGACAAGTTAATCATCTATTTAGAAAAATATATACCATTATAATAATTGAAAGAAAAATATCAAGCATCTCTTTATTCTCCAACTTCTTTAGTTGCATCAAATTCTAATTGAAGTTATAAACAAAGTTTATAAATGATTATGAAGTTATAAACAATTATGAGAAGAAAATACAATAAAATTTAAAATCTGAGCCCAAGTAACAAATTAATGATTACATATTAACTAATTTTTATAAAGAAAATAAACTACCATGGTGGGAATATAACAAATTTTTGCCACAGCTAAAGAGAGTATAATCCATTTGTCCCTTACCTTTCTTCTCTTGTATATTTGGCAGTTTTTCTTCACTATAATGAAACACCTAACACAGGCTATCTTTCTAAAGAAAAGACATTTATGTAACTTATAGTTTTGGAGGATCAAAATCACAGCACTAGATTTGACTTAATTATGATGACAACCTTTGCACATGGTATCACGTGACAAAAACCAGGGAGCACACATGTGTATGTACGTCTGACCCCTGTCCCTCTTTTATAAATCTACCAGCATTTAATTATGGGAACTTTCCTAATTACCTTATATAAACCTGATCACTTTTCATACAAAACCCCTACCTCTAACCTCCACAGTCTTGATTAAGTTTCTATCCTCTTAAAACCATTAGCACATGGCTTTTAGGATTAGGCTATCACAGGAGTTGGGAGAGAAACACCATATTCAAACCATAGCACCTGACAAACACATTTCTATATACTTCATTTGTCTCTAAATGTTAATATTTTATTCATATTCTAAATAATTTGAGCTTAATCAATAGCACATCCTATCAAATTCATCCAATAACACTAGGGCCTAATGAATGGATTAAGTAAATACTATAGGAAATACTTGAGAAATAGAGCAGGATTATATATTTACACATACATACATTGTATACACATGGTCTCAAACTTGATTTATTATTTGTATAATATTAGCTTCCCTATTTCTATGACTACATGATCCTAAACTACTAGAAAATATATTCTCTTTAGAAATAAATTTGTCAAAATTTTTGCTTTATTGCAGACAAAAAATGTATAGAACAAGCAAGAAAAAGATTAATTTTTTAAAAATTGCATACTATGGACCATGAAGGGTTACTACTTCTAAAACCCTATTCACCTGTGCTCCAAGATGTATTTTATTTTACTTTACATTTTTTCACTTCATTTTATTTTATTGTACTGGGGGCACTCTGTGACATTTACACAAGTTTTTGCAATATTTGTAGTTAAATTTTTCCCCTCCATCATTCTCCTTTCTCTTCCCCTCCCCCATTCCTGGAATACTTTAAATAGGTCTGATTTTTTTCCATGTACATACACATATGTATAATATTTGCTCCATGTTCACCCTCTTATACCCTTTTCTTATATCCTTCCCACTTTCGCTGGTACCAGGCCCCTGACAGGACCTGTTTTGCCCCTCTGTTCTCCATTTTTTGTAAAAAAAAAAAAAAAAAAAAAAAGGCATTTTTGTCATTTTCATGTATATCTGTTTTATATTAGTGAACTAATATATATTCCATATAAAAATCTTTCAAAACCTAGAAAAGCACATAGAAAATAACAGAAAATTGACCATCTCATATTAGCTCTGACCTTGGTGACGTAGCCTCTCTGGGTCTTGGCTTCCTTTATCTGTGAAGTGTGCAAATTCACAGTGCCTATCTTATTTAGCTACTGGCAGGATTAATGAGTCAATATTTGTAGAGAGTTTAAAATAGTATATAGCACACAGTAAACAATATATAACTGTTAAATAAAGTAAGTTTTATCACTGAAATATAAAGTATTTGTGGTGTTTATATTCACTCTAAGGTTTTATTGCTTCTCATATCTTTCATAAATTTCTATGGCCAGCATATATACTAACCTCTGTGCAGGACAAATAAATATCCTGTCTACATCTCTGTTTTGTGTGGACAATACAAGTCAAAAATGCAAATAAAAAAATCGATATATGATTATTCTGTGTTTATTATGTGCCAAATGCTATTCCAACTGCTTTGTTAATGTGCTGCTAGAAGCAAATGTTATCATTACCAGTTATAAGTACAAGGATTGGAGCACAGAAAGGCTAAGTAACTGCCTGAAGCTAGGAAAAGATGAAAGTGGGTTTGACCCTGTGTCATTTGACTCTAAGATCTGCATGTTTCAATCAACACTCTACTCTTGACAGTACTCTCTACTGCCCATTTGACACAATGACAGGTCAATTCTAACTGCTACTATTATTTAGTAATCGCTTGCATTGCACAGCAATCTTCTATTCCTTCCTGGCACTATTCCCCAGTAAATCCTAACACTCTCGGGCCTTTTACTTTTGTACATGCTTTCTGTTCGAATGTTCTTTCCTTATGTTTTTGCCTGTCAAAACCTCTAGGTTATTTTACAAGGCATAGCTGAAAGCAAAACTCTGCTCAAACTCAATTCACCACTGTGTATTCTCTCTTCTTTTTGTAGCACATTTAAAAAAAAATACAGCCCTATTCCAGCACCTATCACAGTCTGACATATCATGCCCTTCTTTCTTTGAAAGGGGAATGTGGGCCTATGCATTCCAGTGTTGCTAGTGGTGTATACAGCCTCGTATGCAGTCCCTTGCACAGAATGACTTGAGTAAATATTTGCTAGATGGAATTGGCATAATATTCTGGGCCAGAAGTAATGTGCACAGAAACTACCGCAGCAGTGGAAATGCAGAGCACCTGGGTAATGATTTCCAAGGATTAAGGTTCCTTCTTTGTCCTTGTGTGTAGCAAGGGCTGGGAGGCTACTGAGCATCAAATAATGTAGGTATCTCTTTGCTGCTAAGGAAAATCCTGCTAATGAAAAAGCTGGATGGTGGTGGGAGGCCACAGACCAAGTTCAAATTCAGTTACTTATTAAACCTAGAGCACTTCATTTAATTTCTTGTAACTCAAGAAAATTTAGTATATTATGAGATACTAATACTTAAATAGGTCATTTCTGTGAGAATTAAAGCTATCTATACCTACGAAATAAAAACTCTGTACATATTAATGTCTCCTATAAAAGCAACCATGGATTCCTCTTCAAATGACAAGTTATAAAGTGGCAATTGAACCATGGCGGGTGTTTGGAAATCTGCTTTATAATTTCTACCTGAGTGACTTCAGTTAAGTTAATGAAAGAAGCAATTCTAAACTTTAATTTTCTAAGGATGGAGTTGTCATAAAAACTTGAATGAATTCATGTAAAGTGACTAAGTAGCATATAGTCAGTGTTCAATAAACATCAGCTATGAAGGCAGAAATCAAACCTCCTGGGGGGTAAAATAGCAAAATATGTAAAATGACTGTTTATATATCTCCACATATTAAATTCTCAATAATATTATCCATGATAAGCAGATAGATATGTATGAAATGAGTGTAGCCTGAACTTGAGGTATAAAAAAGTATTTGTTGCTGACTTTTCCTTTTTATAATTCACAATAGTAAATTGTATACAAACCCAAGAAAAGACAGACAGAACCTGTTATTAATAACATTGGGTTAGAGTCTTGTCTTATGAGAAAATATTGCATGCAGAATTCTAAATGACTAAATTGAATGTGAAAAAATATGCACAAGTCTCATTGTTCAAGGTTTCCTTAACATAGACATTTTATATACACACCACACTTCGTCTATGCTTTTTCTCCAGGGAAACATATTACCATCTGTAGTTATGTAATCAATTTCCAGGTGGCTCTATAAACAGATTTCAAGGTACAATGACACTATATATTTAACAAAAATACTTAATGTCTTAACATAAAAATGAAGTGTATATCTTGTCTGTAAGGACCAATGTTTTTGACAGTAGAGTTAATGATTGATTATTTAATAATAAAATCTATAATAGAAACATCTGTATAAAATTACTATATATGAAAAGAAGCTTATATTTTCTGACAAGTAATAATGAGTAAAATTAATCAAAACATATAAAATAATATTGACTTTAAATTAAAATTAGCTTCTATTTTAGAAATTTGTTTTGTTTTACTTTTGCAATAATATATGTAATAGATGTGCCTTATAAAAAAATCAGGAACATACCTTAAAAAGAGTAAGAAGCAACATGTGTAGTCTGACCAAACAGGGAAAAGCTACTGATAACTGTTGATGTATTTCTTTATATATTTTTATAAAATAAATTCCATCTCCCATGATAAAATTATTTGCAATAATGTTTTTGAGAGAAAAATAACTTTGGGTAGGGAACAATATTAATTTCAGACTTAATTTATAATTAACAAATGAAGTAAGTCTAACAAATATGAAACATACCTTGATTAATTTAGGTACAGTCAATTTTAAATTACAGCAATTATTTTGTATTTCAATGAAGGAACAAATGACAGCCTTGCTGTTAGTTGAACTGGGAGGAAGTGAGATAGCAGTTTTGGGGGAAAACAGACAAGTACTTTAGAGGATCAAAGTAGAGAATGACTATTTCATTCTTCATAGAAAGAAACAGTTATTCTGGCATTTTAAGGTTAGTTTCATTTTCCAGTTGTGAAGGCCAAGAATGTTTGTTATTGTGTACTAATGATAATATGGAACTCAAATAAACACAGTTTTGCTCTGAAATTGTGTGTATGTGTAGTGTTTTATGAAACACTTGAGAAAATAGTTAGTTATATGTCTCTATTAGCTTTCTCATATGAAAAATAAGTTTACAAAGTTTTAGAACATAAAAATATATGTAGTATATAAAATATTGTGATAGGAGATAGACACATCATTATGTTTAATATCTGATGTGAACTATTTCCTAAAATTAATTAGTGGAATAAACCAGATTGTTCTCTTATTATTTTCATAAACATATTTCCTAATGATAACAAAAAAAAGTTAGAAAGTTGATGTATAGCAAAGTATATATAAATCATATTTACTTTGTATTGAGATTTGTAACTTGGAGAGCATTTTCATATGAAGTACTAGGATTTTAGTAAAGACTTTAAACTAGGGCACACATGACTATTTTGTTCAATCAGTCTGTATAAGGATGGAGATTTTGTTTGTTTTGTTCACTGAAAATGCCCCAAAGAGTAGACTACCACCAGACTTAAGATTGTACTAAGTAAATAATATTTAAGGTATTGTTTCTGTAATATTTATATGACACTTCCCAAATCCTTTTTTTCAGGGCACCAAATCTTAATATTTGTTTTGGTATTTCCATCAGTTAGATGAGTATTCTCAATTTTCCTCTGTGAAGTACACATGCAGTTTCTCAAACTACTAAATAATACTTAAAAAGTTGATGTCACTTCTTTGTTACCTCTCTTATAAAATCTCAATTTAATATAGCTAGCTAGCATAAGAAGCAATAAAAGTCACTGAGTTGCTAACTTCTTTCCTACTCTTCCAGCATGGCTGTGGGAATTTTGTCCGTGTGATTCAGACCTTCAACCGCACTCACCTGTATGTCTGTGGGAGTGGTGCTTTCAGCCCAGTCTGTACTTACCTGAACAGAGGAAGGAGATCAGAGGTAAGCATGGCAATTTTACATTCTCACTTAGGTGTTAGTGTCTGAGGTTTTTAAAAACATACATTACAGTAAAAACTGGGAAATAATATCTTTAAAATATCTTCATGATCTTTAAATACAAAGTTTATTATATTTTTTTCCTATCTGCCCAGGTAGTTATGGAGTTAAAATACACAGTGGTTTTGATTTCAAATACATGTGTGTTTATATGTGTGTGAGTGTTTATGTCTTTATTTCTAAATGAGAATATAGTAAACAATGAAGGAAAATGTATTTCATAAAATCTTTGAATGTAAAGTACTAAAATATTTGCCCTGGATTATAGAAATATTGTATTGTCAACTTATTCTTTTAAATCTATTTTAAGTAACCTTATTTATCTTTGAAATTCAGTAAAGACTTATGCAATATATATATATATATATATATATATATATATATACCTGTAAGATATGTATAAAGCAGGATGGCAAATAGTTTTGCTGTAAAGAACTTTATAAGTTAATAAATCATTCTTTTGTTTAAGACTAACATTGTCCTACACTGGGCTATTCTGCTTTATTCTTTTATTAGTTAAAATGATACAGGGTATTATGAATTGTGTTTGCTAAAAACTAATCAAATATGTAGCTAATGCATAGTCAAATAGAAGTCTGGTTGAACTTCAACCATGATATTTAAGTCTGTGTTTATTATCCCCATCCACAATTGTTGACTAAGGAAGCTATACCTCAGACCAAAAGAGCATTTCCCCATTCTTTTAGTCAAACACATTGCTTCACTTAATGTAATTATTTAAAAAACTGAATTAATTCAAACTATCTTTATTTGGTTCACTATGAAACTTAAGTATGGAAAATACTTCTTAGATAATGTCTTAAGTTCAATTTCAGGGATGAGAATTGTGAAAAAGTTCAAATGTTGCTACTGATATACTTTATAAAGTTTATTTTTCTTTAATAAGAATCAACTTTATTTTTCCTTATTAAGAATCAACTTACTTTAATACTAATATAATTGAACAATGGTTCTTTCTGTATTCCTTTATTATTAAATTATTTTGCATGCATGTAATTTACATATATATATCTTTTATTTATTAAATTTTGGCACCACTGGAGCTTGAACTTAGGGCCTTGCATTTTCAGGCAGGCATTCTACCACTTGATCATGCACACAACACCTTTTGCTTTAGGTATTTTTTGAACAGTGTCTTTTACTTATGCCCAGGCTGGCCTAGACCATGGTCTTTCTAGTTAAACTTCCTGCATAGCTGGGATAGCAGGTGTATGCATCGTGTCCAGCTTTATCATGCTCCATTATTTTCTGAGAGCTTTCCCAGAGCATTTCAGCAAGTGTCCATCCACAGAGCCTGGAATCCTCACCATGGTTCTCTTCAGTCTGCTGTCTTTATTCCCTGTCTTCTGTTCCTGGAAAAAGATGCAGCAACACAAGTAAACCATGACCCCAAGCTAATGAGTGAAACATCAAGAAAAAGCAGTGCTTGTTTAATCTTGATAAAATTCTTGAAATGTTGCTATATTGCTCTGTTTGGTTTTATCATATGTTTTTATAACACGCTTTCAATAATTCAATACCATTTAAGTCTCTGGCTTTGCAACTCATTATGTAGTATCACAGGTGATAAAGAATATTGCTGGCATTTACATTATTCCTATGCTCATTAAAGTAAATCAGTCACTGAACTATTGTGTGTCAGCATCTTTCTATAGCTTTTCTCCTGTTTCAGAAGGAAAATTGTGCATTTTCTTCATCAATAAAGCTCTTTAATCAATAACCATCATTGCTGTGTTTCCTATGTACATTCATCTTTCCCTACATTTCCCTTTTTTCAAGTTTAAAAATAGTATTAGCCATAAATGATGGCTCACACCCATAATCCCATTACTTGGGAGGCTGCGACAAGATGATCACAAGTTCAAGTACAGCCTGGCCTGCTGAGGGAGACCCTCTTTCAAGGGGGTAGGGGGAAGACTGTGTTTTCTTTTGCCCAAATTACTATCTTAGTTCTGTAAAAAAAAAAAAAATTCATTTAAAATGTAGAAATAGTTAACAACCTTAAAAAACCACTGAGAATCCAAATCAGATGGAGTCTAAAAATAATTACTGAGCTGGGCAAGGCAGTGTACACAGGTAGTCCTAGGATACAGGCATCTGTGATTGGAAGACTGCTTGAGTCTAGAAGTTCAAGACCAACCTGGACAACACAGAGCAAAGACCTGGAACTGTGGTTCATATTGTCATTAAAGATCTTATAAAGAAATTTAAAAAGTGTTTCAAAAGAAGAATCAAGTTTAATTAAAGTAGATTCGGAATAAAATGCAAAGTCAGAAACTGGTGATGAGTATATATAATTCTTTGAAAACTGTGGGCCATAGAGAATGACATGTGTGGAACTGAAAGGGCAGTTTAAGTGAGGATATAAAGGATCAAGTAGAAAGACAAAAATATACAGCCAAAAAACAGAAGGAAAAATGCAAGGTACCTGGGAAGACTGGGTAAGATGAGATTCAAAGCATTGGTTGAAGGATTGGCCTCAAAGTAAGAGAAATAGCTCTTGTGCATTTGGTATATATATTACTGTGTACACACAGACACACAAACACATTTTTATACATGTGTTACAAGTTGAGGAAATCTCATTTAAAGGCTTCACTTTCTCCATAAAGTAGTTGAAAATCATATGAACTGAGAATACTAGGAGATAAAACAAAGTGGGTTTTGACTCTGGTGGCAAAGGCTTGAAATTTTTAGACTTTTTTAATTTTTTTGGCAGTGGGGTTTGAACTCAGGGTCTTATGCTTGCAAAATAGGCATTTTTACCACTTGAGCTACTCCACCAGCCCATGGTTTGAAATTTTTAATGGAAGGACCAGTTGACAAAAGCATCCTTGAAAGATTGCTAAGTGGTAAAGAGGGTCTGCTTTGGAATCATGGTAAAAAAATCTATAATACATTGAATTTACCCTTTTGGGTTACTTTCGCAAAATGCTTAGCAGTTTACGCATGTATGGGGAACATAGACATGCTCTTCTAAGGTGTGGATGCAATTAAATTGTCATTGATTCAAAGGAACTTGCATTTTTTTAATTGCTGTGCTGGGTGGGGTACATTGTAGTATTCACAAAGGTTCTTACAATGTATCAAATATATCATACTTGAATTCACCCCTCTCTACAGCTCTCTTTCATTCCCCCCTCCCCTGATTCCTGGAACAGTTTCAACAGGTATCATTTTTATATTTACATACATGTTGTATACATTATTTGCATTATATTCATTCTCCTACCCCTTTCTCCCCCCCAGGTCTTCCCTCCCTCTGTTGCCAATATGCCTCCACACCACCGCAGAACCTGTTCTGCCCTCCTGTTCTTTGATTCTGTAGAAGAAAAAACAAAATATAAAAAAGAAAGACATGGTGTTTTTGCTTGAGATAAAGATAGCTATACAGGGAGATTCCTTGTGTTGTTTCCATGCATATATGTATTATAACCCCAATTGGTTCATCTCTACCAGTGTTCATCACTCCTCTGTAGTCCCCTTCCCATGGTGGCCCTGACCAGTTTAAGATTTCTGTATTCATTCCTGTACAGTGAGCACATCAACCACATTCAAGTTTTTGGTTTCCTTCCCTTGCCCTATCCTTCCCAGGCGTGGCCTCCCCTTAGTGTGACCCATGTCCCATAATACTGCTGCATTTGTTTAGGTCTATAATCAACATAAGAGGGAGAACATGAGGCTTTTGCCCCTCTGAGCCTGGCTAACTTCACTTAAGATGATGTTCTCCAAGGAACTTACATTTTTGACAAAAAGTTAATGAAATTTTAAAAAATTGTAAAAAACTTGTTAAAAGTCAAGAAGAGGAAAGGCTGATGAACTGGGGTAAAGTAGAGCTGAGTTCTTAGTAGAAATTCGAAGAATTTCTTCTGGTTGCTTTAATTAGTGATATTAAGGTGGACCACGTGGATTCCCAGTGACTATGTTGGGTGTGAGGTTGCTGTGCCATGGAAGAGTGGATCTTTGGAGGACAAACAGTAGCAAAGAGATATCAGTTCCTCAAGTGCCATCTTTCACCTGTCTAATGAAAACTGTCTCTGGCTCTAGGATCACATGCAAGATTACTAAATTTTTTTTTCTTATATTTATAATTATTTAGTTTGGAAAAATATTTATGTGGTTTGGAAAGTAGATTTAGGTAGGAGTCAGGACACCAAATTTGAATTTTAGTTTTGTCACCCTTTAGCTACATGGCCTGGCCCAAGCCCCAAGTCTCTCAAGTGAATTCATTGGAGAGGATCATGACTTAAGTTTTCAGCCTTAGAGGACCGTAATTTTTTAAAGTTCTATCATTCTGTATTGCCTCCAAGATTTTCTATCATACATCAAACTTCATGTTACAAAAATGATCTACTTTTATTTTCTTCAAGGAAGGAAAACTTCAAATTGTTCTTTGGTTTTTATTAATATTCTTGGACTACAAACAATTTATATTTTGTTGCCAAGCTCTATATATCATTACCATACAAATTCTCTTATAGTTCTGCTGCTCTTACTATGACCACTGAAATCATGGAAGGTCAGATTATTATTATCTTCTTCCCAGATTTGTGCAATAGAAAACTAATCTATTTTCCTAAATTCAGTGTCTCTATTATATTTATCCCATTCCTCATTTTCCTAATGCTCAAAATAAGGCCAACTCTGCTTGAAGCAGAGTTGAGATTTTTTTAAGGAGGGGTATGTTTGTTTGTTTGTTTTGAGGTTTTGTTTGTTTTTGAGACAGGGTCTTCTAGGTAGTCCAAGCTGTCCTGGACTGTTCAATGCCCCGCTACATTCTCCTGAGTGCTGAGCTCACAGGCATGTGCCACAATGCCCAGCCTAGAGCACAGTGTTTGATCCTTTCATTTCCACACTCACATACACTAATGAGTCTGTGTTTCTTCAGAATAATTTTCAAAACCCTTAGCCTAATAATTAAAGTCCTCTACCATCTGATACATCCTACAAAAGTGGTCATTTTTTTTCCCTTAGAATTTCAGTAGTAGCTTATATGTACTTTGAGAAAGGTTACTAACTTAAAAGACAAGTAAATATCGGTACTGACAAGATGACTCCTCTCAGTAAGTTTACACTGACCACCATGCACACTGAACTATTCTCAATCTCTGGCCTTTCCTGTTTCATTTCTTCTATTTATTCTCTTTACTTTTTATCTTCCTCCTTTGATTACAAATTATCTTATAGCAAAGATTTTTGTGCATTTTGCCTACTATATCTGCAATGGCTAGTCAAGTATCTAGCATATGGTAGATGCTCAATCCATTTTTATCAAATAAATATATGGATGAATAAATTATATTTTAACCTAAATTATTATGTTTAATCTCATATAATTTTTATGTCACAAAATGAAATGATAGCATAAAATTTTATTTCTTAATATGTCTTGATTATTTTAGAGATATTTCATTCCTTATATACGTTATTCCTGTGTGGATAATGTTCTTTTTTTGGCCAATGTGCAACACATGTAGTTCAGATTTAGAATGCGCCTTGATTTTCAAGTGTTTTTGTGATGTTGATTTGAGAATAACTCCTGCTTGGATCAGCTGTCTGAGAAGTTAGTAGGGTGAGAGTGGAGATTAGCTAACATTTTGCAGATGGACTTTTCATACAGGACAAGTCTTAATATAGTAAACTTGGAAGACATAAGCAATCAAATAGCACATTATTATTTCCTATACTTTGTTTTATTAACAGTTGTTTTAACTAAATAAGTTATTATTACATTTCATTATATTTATTATACTAAATTGTTGTCATGTGGTATTTTGTCTTCAACAAAGGACCAAGTTTTTATGATTGACTCCAAGTGTGAATCTGGAAAAGGACGATGCTCTTTCAACCCCAATGTGAACACAGTGTCTGTTATGATCAGTAAGTAGAAAATATAGAGGGAGTGAAGATATAAAATAATGAAGAAAGTTAACCTGACATTATCTGAACACAATTTTCAATGTTTTTTCTATAGTTATTTTTCTAATATCGAGTCTATCTACATTTCCTTCTGTAATCTTTTATAAATGATTAAATGTGGCATTTATTTCAAATGAAAGAAAAGCAAAATGCAGATGTTAGCCAAGGACATTTCTGTGGATTGATTTGGAAGTTGCTAAAGGGGGTGGTGATACTTTTTAAATTTCCTTACTTTTTATAAAATGTCAGTTAAGCAGTAGGTCCAATCATTTGCTGATACATACATTGTCAAATAAATTGGTTTTTCAACTTCAACTATTGAGTGTCTGTCCATGGACCACTTAAAAGACATTCTGTTACTGTTCATTAAAAGACTTTTAGGTTTATGTCCAAGTTGTCATGAACTGAATGGTGACAAACCCCTTGGATTTAGCATGTCAAATGTATATTAGACACTTTTTTTCCTCTTCATTTTATGTACTTATTGCCAGTAGTAAAATTTCATCCTTTGACTACAGAACAGGTGAAAAAATAATTATTGTGTTTAAGTGCTTGCTTGATTTATTTTAGTAGGCAGCCCATCTTTCTTTCTCATGTCTAGAATTTAAATTAAGACAGATACACCCAGCACAGACTAAAATGTGAGCTTGCAAGTTAATCAATGAATTATTTCCATATGATCATTCAAACTAGGTAGGGAGAAGCCAGTAGTGAATCATTAGGGAAAAAAATGTTGGAAAACTTGAAACTACACACTATCCAACATTGTCTGATGGAGAATATTTTCAGATAAGATTCTGAATGTAACTGAACAGTGGCAGTGTTTTAAAAAAATCTTTTCTCTATTAGGATGGATATTTTATTTACCTTTAGAATAAAAATATCACAAGAAACTGTATAATATGTATGATAATAAATGCATATAATTTTCATTACTTCAAGATAAAACCTATGAAAATAAATGAGTATATGTTATCATAGTAATTTTATTTCATTGGACATTATTTAGAATAAAAAATATTAGAATGTAACATTATACATTTCCTTGGTCAACTCTCTTAAGTCTTTTAACAGTTTTGCCTTTGAGGAAATGGATTTGTTTTTAAAAAAAAAAAAAAAAGAAGTACATATTGGAATTCTTGATTTTTTCAAGGATCTACAACTTGAATCCCTGTGCACATGTTGCTATATTAACTTTTAATATTATGATTAATGTTACAACCCATGCTATCAAAGAAAGTCATTAAATAATTTGCTTTATAACCAAAAATGAAAAGAACAGGAATTTTCATAAGCATGTCTTTATTATTTATGGATTTGGTCTTCTCTCTAAAATGATCCTCACAGTGATCACCTCACTTCACCATTTTATAGGGCTTTGTCATTTCTATTCAATTACATTGCATTACACAATACAGATCAGTTAAAATACTTGTACCTATTAAATACCAAGAAATACTAAGAATCAGAAGACTTCAAAATTTTACCATCTGATTACAGCATGTAATCCATTCTGCAAGTTCAATGTTCTCTTGCTATTTTTTGTCATAGTTGTAGGGCAACAAAGAAGTCAGATGTTATCTTTGAAGAACCTATCATAAAGCTAATGAAACTTTTTTAATCAGTGGAAGTGAAACTGGAAATCAAAATATTTTAGGGTTAAAGTTAAAGGGCACATGTTTATGTTTGCATAAATCCTTCCTCTTAAAAATTTTTTCAAAATGACATTAATTAAACATTTTTATTCATTGCACAGAAAGCAGAAACATCCCAATCTGCTACTGGAATCACTGAGAACATAAGACAGGAAGTGAAGCCAATTAGCTATGCAAACTTGTGTGATGTTTAGGATAAAACTAATGAGGTGGCTTGGAAAAGGATTAGACAATTCTTACACCAACCTCTGAGTTTCTTTTTTCCTTTCCTTTTTGGAAACAGATATGATCATCAATAGCTGTGCTACTAATCTATTGAAATGCACGGATTTATAATCCAGTTTTATGGCTAATTGGTTGTAACAAAATGGAAAATGTTAATTATAGAGGTATCAATTTGACAGCCAGATCTATGTGGACAAAACTGACAAATGTTCATAGAATTTTAAATTGATGAATTTCTCAAGAGACCTTCATGCACATTTTTATCTCCCTGTATATCTGTTTTTATGGGCTTTGAGCCCATGTTGAGAAGACCTGGGTGACAAAATGCCTGCTGTTCAGGCTTGCTAAGTGGTAGGTCCAGTTCATAACCTGGTGAGCACATTTTCAGGAACATTCCATTCTCCAGTCTATTCTTGCCCAACTGGTACTGTTTATTACTAAGCAGTGAGCTTAGCGTGCTTCAGATGTTCCAGTCCAAATGACCACAATCCAAAGGTAACCAGGCAAGCAAAACTAAAACATCAAAGAGCACATCTGCGTGGTAGCTCAGTGTGCCAAACCTGATGAATGTCTTTCTAAAATAGATGTTCAGCTACTGTTTTATACTCCAGGGTCATGTTTCTTCTTCTTGATTCAATGTCTGCTGTTCCTTACTAGGATAGAAGATAATATGGATTTTCAAAGATTAGTAAATTGCAAGTGCTATTTATATACAGGTTAAAATAACTGAACAGGCCATTAATAATGATAAGTTATTTTAATTTTTAAATATATTTTCTTTCTTGTTGATATATTCTTTTTTCTGATTCAGTTACAGTTTGAAAAAGTCTACTTTGTTCCCTTTACTAGTCAGTCTTCTAGCACTAAAGATCAAAATATATTCTTATAATGATTAAGTCTTTTAATCATTAATAGTATTTGAATAATTTTAATGTAGTCCTTATGTCATCAGGTAATAATAGCAACAAAACCGTAATGTTCAAGGTATTTAGTAAAATCATAAAAATTTAATACACACTGAGAACTTTTGAGATCATAACCCATTCTCATATTTTATAGATGAGAAGGTTGAGATTCAGTATCTAAATGTCTTAGCCCTAATTGCCAGTTGTTACTGATTGCCAAAGTTAGAAACCAAACTTTCTGACTCTTATTGTGCTTTTTAAAAAATTTATTAAAAGAAAATAATTAAGCTATTTCTTCAGTTATACATCTGCAATTTCTGTACATACTATTAAAAAATTGGTATTTAGTATAAGTAAGTGAAGATAAGGAATTTTTATTTCCACTTAGAAGACATAATCACATAGGCAGCAGTAAAAGTAGATTAAAACTTGTCTTTTTTTCTTTGGTAGGGCAATAGAAAAATATTAACAATTATAAACATTCTGTAACATATAAGATGATCTATTAATAAAATCCTTGAATTTTAAAATAGTTTTAAAATTTGAAATTGACATTTTCTTTCTCTTTCATAGACGAGGAACTTTTCTCAGGGATGTATATAGATTTCATGGGAACGGACGCTGCTATTTTTCGAAGTTTAACCAAGAGGAATGCAGTCAGAACTGATCAACACAATTCCAAATGGCTAAGTGGTAAGAAATTATAACATTCATGCTATAAAGTAGCATTTAATTCCATAAGGACAACTAGAAAAAATACGGTAAAATTTCAGGTCATTACGTGAGCAATAATAATTCTATACTCCATGATTTTAACATGTATGATACAGTTCTTTCATATTCTAATTCCTTGAGTTATTAACAATATACAATTGTCATAGGAATATGAATAAGTAAAAATGACAGCACTATTCATCACGCATGCCAGTCCCCAAGCATCTTCTCCAAATGTTGAATGGTAACATATTAAATATAGTTTTTACCTCATTTAATTTTCTTGTACGTTCAAAAATGCCAAATCTAAAAATTATCCTAAATGTATGACATTTAGATATAATGAATAAGTTATATTCATGAATTTATCCTATTGGTTTTATATTTAGATTCTAAAATTATGAAACTGGTATATTTTGTTTTTTTAAATTTGACTTTTGTTTAATAGAAATCATAAGTATAATAACTTTATGATTATCATTGTTCAACTTTTTTTCCAATTCTTGGGGATCCTATGGAATTCACATCATGAAAGATGCTCATTTGATTTGACTGTATGATTCCAATCAGTTGCTGTTGTTTGGAAGTGGGAAAACCACTCAAATCTTTGTCATTTCACCCTGAGGAAAATTTCTAACTGATTCTATATTTGAGTATTCACTTAACATTGCACACTTATGCATGAATCGCCTCATTTAGGCATTTTATTTCACTGATAGAGCACCACACAAAAAGCACTGATTGTTCATTTACTTCTTCAAATTGTTCCTCCAGTGCATCTGGAAATAGAGTATTCTAAAAGTTGTTTTGTTCTTGAAATAAGGAAACCTTGTATGTCTTTAGATGACTCAGTTTTTTCCTTGAGTACTTTCCCCTTCATTTCATTTGTTTCATTTTTAAGAAAAATTTGTTTTTCAGTTTTGGGCTCCCAATTCCTGATTCTGCTTCAGTGAATTTGAGTTTATGTGCACTAGGTTGAAAACCACACTTTGTAAGAACAAACATTCTTTCAATGTAATGACCATCAGATTCCATGGGAAATAACTGGTTGAAAAGCTTTTCAATTTTTGAAAACTCATCAGTGAACCAAGAGTTTTTGCATTTACAGTACTTCCAAAATGTATTGCAGACAGAGAAAACTAGTTTGAGCTGTCATATTATGCTATATTTTGTGGTACTTAACATTCCAAATGTGGTATGTTGAAGTGAATACAATCACTGCTTTTTGAGATTTTGCCTATGAACACTGAATTATTCTTCTATACCAAACGTGGGGAAGGCATGAATCTGTGATCTACTTGGAAAGACAGTAAATGGATTGCCATCATGAATCTATATAGTCTTTCTATCTGTTTCTAGAACCTATGTTTGTGGACGCACATGTCATCCCAGATGGCACCGACCCAAATGATGCTAAAGTGTACTTCTTCTTCAAGGAAAAACTAACTGACAATAACAGGAGCACAAAACAGATTCATTCCATGATTGCTAGAATATGTCCTGTAAGTATTATTGTGTTCTAGTTTGAAGAAAGATTTCAAATTATATCAATACTTTCCCACTAGCTTTTCTCCATGCTTTTATTATCCTCTGTAACAAATACAAAAAATTATAAAAATAGACTTTTAATATAATGGATATTTGTATCAGTCATGTGAGGTAAGCATGTTCTATTTCATTAAAAATCTATGGGGAAATATTTTGATTTTAGTTTTAAACAGCTTAATAGTTTTGACTAATTTTCATATTAATTTAATGCAATGGTATTCAAACAAATAACTAATTTGTCTGCTACATAAAGAAACAAAATAATTTTTGTAAATAAAATACACTGAATCTCAGTAAAAGATAATTATTGTGAGACTGTCTGTAATAATAAAATTAAGAAATGCTTTAGGAAATGCAGTTCTAATTTTAAAGAGTAACCAAATTCCGTGTATCAACAATTAGTATACATAGCACTCAAAACATTCATGATGTCCTTTTATATGGGAATTTTATAGATCTGTTCTGACTTATTTATGATTAGCATACTTTGTGAAAAAGTGTTTCTTAAAGTGTTTCATGTTCATTTATCTTTACATATTGTAGTATTCCACAAATCAAAGCCTGGCAGTTTCTTAATCATTTGGAACAAGATAGCAAATCTGGCAAAAGGAGTGAAAGACCTCTGGACACAGAGGGAAAAAAGTCATGGATAGACTATTTGTGAATGATCCAAATACCATTTTTTTTGCCTTGACTGGAGAAACATGTATGTAATAAAGCATCTAATTAGAAATACTGAGGATTAACTGATAATGCAGAGAAATGTAGGAGGGAAAATAGAACTGTCTGGGACCATTTCATGTAGGGATGTACCCACTCTCCTGACCACAGCAGAATCTGTAAACCTTACTGTATACAATAGTTTTTGTTTATTCTGGACACATGAACTATCAAAAAAGGCAACTGAAATATTCTCCATACATTTTATTAATATTTCTGTCACATACTATTAAAATTAGGATATAGGTCTATTAACACAATTTATTAATTTCTAGTTAATACCATTCTATAATGGAATAATTGGATAATTCTGACTATTTTATAAAATACTATAGATCTTATTTTTATTAATTTGTAGATGTGGCTAAAATTTCCATCCTTCAGATCACAATAAATCCCAAAGTTATTGGAGTCCAAGATGAACTTTTAATGCCATTCATTATTTCCTGAAGTAATCTGAATTATGTTTACAAAACGGTTTCAGAATGACACTGGAGGACTTCGTAGCCTTGTCAACAAGTGGACCACCTTCTTAAAAGCAAGGCTCGTGTGCTCCGTCACAGATGAAGATGGGCCGGAAACACATTTTGATGAATTAGGTACATAAATGTGAGATCGGACAATGCTTCTGAAAGGGAGCTTGTAAGATCATGTATTTTAGTAGGCTATCCGAAAAGAATGTATCATCCTTAGATAGTTTCAGCATAAATAATGTGCCAATATGAAATAATGATCTGGATGCTGTGAGTGAAATTTCCGTAAGTGTTTTTCTAGTCTATTTTGTCCAACTACACAGACAAAACATTTAGTTCATTGAATTTGCCATAATATATGAATGAGTGTGTCTGTGGTGGGGGGATAATTCTATAACTTATGCATAGGTAATGATGTATTTGGGCTTTTATAAATTAATATCTATTGTATGTTTGAACATCTAATTATTTGATTAAAAATCAGTGTATATAAGAATACAGCTATTCATCTTTTCTATTGCAACTAATGGGCAGGATTGAATTTGGATGGAAAGTGTTAAAATAGAAATTCGTTGAATTATGTTCCCATTATAGTTCTGTTTGGTGATCTTGGGACTGAGTGCTCCCAGGGTGATCTGATGAGGCATATTCTTTCCAGGTCAAAGAGGGTTAACAGCCTGATTCCTTTCTGCTATGGAAAAGTTTTCTTCACTGGGATACCATGGTGTGCCTTGTAGTGTCAAGTGTACCATTTGCCATTTAAAAATGTCTTTTCTTTTGCCTTACTCCATTAAAATGCATAATGCTGGCTATTCTCAGGTTTTGAGGCAGATAATGAGATAAATTACAAACTGCATTACAATATGCAAACATTTAGTGTTTCTTGTAGTTATAAACCTAAAGTAGATATTCTCCTTAAAAGCCATTCTGTTGATCATGTACAAAAAATCCTGTATCAGATTTTCTAGAAAATGTTCTAAGTATCTTTTTGTGATGTAGCCTGGTAGCCAATTATGTCCACCTAAATTCTTTGTTTTACTCTTTCTTGTTCTTTTGGTGAGAACTAGACATCGTCAGTCTTTATTCACATATGAAAGACTAAGCGATTGTTAATTTATTGCTTAAGAAGTCCCAAATTAATTTAATATGAATACACCTCTCTTTCTCTCTGTGTCCTTAGAAAGAATCACACATATGCAAGATTGTCACTAAATTCCAGCATTTCTGATAACCATGGTGATGGATATTAAGTCAGGTTTTTTTCTCAGAATTGAACCTCATGTTCTGCTCTCTAAGTGTACTTTCTATACATACCTTTGTCTTTCCCTTAATATATTTTAGATGTCTTATAGTTAGAGGAACTATTTGTTAAATAAACATGTTACTAGAAATTTTAGCCATAAGTCACATTTTCATATTTTATGTAAAAAGGTCACTGTGAAACAGTTATTTTCCATGTTGCAACTTTGAACACCAAGTTAAAAAGAATTGAAAATTAATATTTTAAAGATTAGGAAACTAATGTCACTAAAGAATATTTACGAAATACAGAAATAAGCAACAGGAAGTTTTGCTACCCAGGGAGTCTTATGATTAATCTCTTTTCTATTCTGATATACAATTTTAAGTTTTACATGGTTCTAGTCTACATTATGTAGCATTTTTCCCACTTAATATTTCATTAATTTGGTTTCCATGGAGATTTAGTCCTCACAAATCCTATTAGTATCTGTATTATGTTCTATTTTATTTACCATGTGCTTATCATTCACTTGTTTACAAATTATAGTACTTTTCACAGTTGAAATTATTTTCTTATGTTAATTATAAGTACCGTTAAAATTTGTGAACTTTAAAAGAATGGCATTTTCCTTTTCATAGAGGATGTGTTTCTGCTAGAAACTGATAATCCAAGGACAACACTAGTATATGGCATTTTTACAACATCAAGGTAATTATAAAAGTATTCTTCAAGTTTTAATTTTATATAGTATTTGTGTTATAGTCCTCTTATATTTACTTTTACCAGATTGCCAAAGTATATTTGAGCTGAACAAAAAATTTCAAAATTATTTATGTAGAGCATATGTAATGATTACATGATGTTTTCTCAAAGAAATAAAATATGAATTATAACATACCAATGAAGTATATAAGATATTTTCTCTGAAGAAAAATGAAACTTTTGTCATTTTTGTTGTTGTTATTATTGGAGGGAATGGATATGTGTATTGCCTAGACTGTGACAGTGGTAATGCAAGTGTACACCTATGTCCAAACTGATCATATTGCATACATTAGTCTTGTGCAGTTTTTATAACAAATATACTTTAGATAACCTGCAAAAAATTGGCATTTCCATCAACATAATTTTCACTTCTTCAGCAATCTAAAGTGACGACTAAAGCTTTTATGTTCTACCATATGATAATATTTCATATATTTCAGAATTGATTTAATGTATTGACTTATTTTTTATGGGATGCCTGATGGGAATTATTATGTTTCAAGACAATTCTCTATATTCTAACTGTTTCCTGCACAAATTTCTGTTGATCAGTTTTCTACTGGGATCATTCCTTTGAATTCAGTCTAATACTCAGCTATGACTACTTGGTCAATGCAGGATGTATTGGTTCCTTTTTTATCAGACAGTCAGCTACAAAACAAAGATCCAAAGCATTCTTTTCTAAGTGGGTCAGAAGATGAAATAATTGTAAACTACAATTAGTTGTTCAGAGTTAAAGAACATTACAGAAATATTGATTTTAAAATAATATGTCCTTCTGGATGTGCTTCACTCTTGTTCTAACACAGAACAGGAGTTCTTAATGTAACTCACAAAGCATTGAATGAAGAAAATAATAACCAGGTTCTTGATAAAATGTTGATTTTGGGAAAAACATGCTTTTCTAGTCTCTGTTTTTCCAATACATTCAATAGCTTTAATTTTAAAAAATTCAAAATCATCATTTATGACTATTAATGCTAGTGAGTAATAATATATCTTATTTATTTTCATGGGAATGAAATACTTTCACCATTAAACATATAATTTGAAATAAATATGTGAGCCAGAGAACCACTGGTTTCAGCCAATCTGCCCTAGTGACATGATTATGTTGTTAAGGATTTAAGAAAATTTTGAAATTTTATTGGCTAAACATAATTGAATGAATGTTTTTTGTGTGACCAACATGAAACTGCAAAAACAATGATAGTTTAGAATTTTCCAGCTAGTATTCAGATTAACATGTGAGAATATTTTCATGCTAAAATAAGCTTAGGGTATGATATTCTCTTATTAATAGGATTTGTTTCAGAATTAAATGATAATAGCTATGTTACTAGAGATTTAGAATTCAAATTAGTATTTTCATCAGTACAATTTTTATTGCTGCTAAAATGTACTAGCTAGTAAAGTAAGTTCAGAAAGCCAGGGCCAAAAGACCAAAAATCGTATGTTCTCCCTCATATGTGGACATTAGATCAAGGGCAAACACAACAAGGGGATTGGACTATGAGCACATGATAAAAGCGAGAGCACACAAGGGAGAAGTGAGGATAGGTAAGACACCTAAAAAACTAGCTAGCATTTGTTGCCCTTAACGCAGAGAAACTAAAGCAGATACCTTAAAAGCAACTGAGGCCAATAGGAAAAGGGGAACAGGTACTAGAGAAAAGGTTAGATCAAAAAGAATTAACCTAGAAGGTAACACCCACGCACAGGAAATCAATGTGAGTCAATGCCCTGTATAGCTATCCGTATCTCAACCAGCAAAAACCCTTGTTCCTTACTATTATTGCTTATACTCTCTCTACAACAAAATTAGAAATAAGGGCAAAATAGTTTCTGCTGGGTTTTGGGGGGGGAGAGGGAGGGGGTGGAGTGGGTGGTAAGGGAGGGGGTGGGGGCAGGGGGGGAGAAATGAACCAAGCCTTGTATGCACATATGAATAATAAAATAAATAAATAAATAAATAAAAAACAAAACAAACAAACAAAAAAGAAAGCCAGGGCCATGTGTTTTCTGTCATATGTGGGATATAGACAGGCCCAACACAAATACAAGCTATAATGTAAAAATCAGGTCACATGCCAGAGAAGTAGGGTAAAAGAAGAAAGTTAAGGAGGTGCATATGGTTGATGTACTTCCTATACAAGAATGAATATAGAATTTTTAAACCTGTTGAAATCACCATAAGAAGGGGACTAAAGTAGAAAGGAAAAAAATAGAGATGAACCTATTTTGGTTATAATATACATATACCTGGAAATCTCACAATGGAACTCCTTGTGTAGCTATCTTAAACAAACAAAAATGTCTTTTTTCAAAAACAGAGAACAGGAAAGTAAAATAGGTCCTATCTGGGGGTAGTCTTCATGGGAGAAGGAAGGATTTAAGAAAAGGATGTAGGAGTGTAAATATGGTAGAAATGCTATGTACTCATGTATGAAAATGGAAAAATAATACCTGTTGGAACTATTCTAAGAATGAAGGGAAGAGGGATGAAGAATGATGCAGGGAGTGAATTCACCTATGATATATTGTAAAATCTTTTGTAAATGTCACTTTGTACTCTCAGTACAACAATAATATGATTACTTCTGTGGATTAATTCAGTATTTTCATGTTTTATATATCAGTGCTTTATCTTAAAGTAAGTTTTTCAGCTGTGTACATTGTACCATAGCATTCAACTTTTCCAGGATGGATTATATCAACTTTTTATCAGAAACTTTGCCATCTATTTTTTTAAATATATTTTTTTAAAATAAGAAAATGGATTCTTGCTATTTCTATTTTTCAGCTCAGTTTTTAAAGGATCAGCAGTGTGTGTTTATCACTTATCTGATATTCAGACTGTGTTCAATGGGCCTTTTGCCCATAAAGAAGGACCCAATCATCAGCTGATTTCCTATCAAGGTAGAATACCATATCCTCGCCCTGGAACCGTAAGTATCCAGAAAGTTTCTTTACAATCATTCTTTAAAATATCCATTTAATTCAAAGTGAATGTCATTCTGACATTTATTTCAACACAACATAGCTCTCCTGCTATGCTCATAGCTTTTCAGCTCAAGGTTTCCAGCTCAGGCTTCACTGACTTAGGACTATAATATGTGAAATATACTATGGAATGCTCCTTGAGCAGGGTAGGTCACTGCTTTAATCACAGCTACACAGGAAGCATTGGTAGGATGATAAATGTCCAAGACAAGCCTGGGCAAAAAATATGAAAACCTATCTGAAAAACAGCCTAAAGCAAAATGGCTGGAGGAGTGGATCAAGTAGCAGACTGCTTGCTTAGGAATCACAGGTCCTGAGTCCAAACTGTTACTCTCTCAGAGATGTTTTTTCCTGAGGAAAAGCTGCTTCTGTCTCTACCCCTCATCAGGCTCTTCAACAAAATGGCAACTTAAAAGCCACCTTAACATATGTATGGGATACGTACATATGTATGGGATACAGTAAGAAAACCACTCATGTCAAGAAGCAGTTATCCTACATAATGTGGGAACAGATGAACTCTTTTTAGTAAAACAAAATAAACCAATACTAAATTAGAAATTTCTGCTAACAGTCCCATTGTTTTTCTATTTTTTAGCTCTTAAGAATACACATTTTTTCTCCTGTCCTAAAACAGGGTGGAATAAGCCAGGGCTTAGTGACACACATCTGGAACAGACTCTGTGAAAAAAGGGAGTAGTCAGTACTTAAGACATATTTCTATAATGTGGTTTTTTACATCTGGTGTTAAGACCAGAACAACTCCTTAAATCCAAAAATTGTCAGATGAGTGATCCTGAGGGAATAAAAGAGGCAGGGTGGAGGAGTAACCTCTGGAAATCCTCCTGGAAAAGCATACTTCCTTGCAGATCTGGCCTCTCCACCCTTCACTGAGCAAAATACCATGAAGTCAGCTCTCTGATTCACCGTGGCCAGTGGCTGTCTCTTCCCTGGGCTTCCTGCTCATGTAGCCAGAAAAAATGCAGCCAAGTGACCCAAAGCATTCCCTCTCCTTTCGGGTCAAAATGCTGCCTCTGAAGTCCTCCCAATAAAGGATCAACTGTGATTGTCATACTTTATTTCCCCACACAGTAGTCTGGTTGCTGGGTCAACCCCATAAATATATGACTGTGTTCTTAAAGAAATGACACTGGCAGAAAACCTATACCCTCGTTCTAATGTTCCCTGTAGGTTCTTCTTTTAAAGCAAGCTTGATAGCTGTGTTAGCAAACAGCTCAACCAGCAAGGCAGAGCCAGTAGGAGGAAGCCTGCCAGTTGTGTCATAATGTTTTTCCATAAGTAATTCAAGTTTGTGGAAGAAACAAGACACCTTTGGTATGTTGCAAAGGGCAGACAAAGACTGCAAACTCTCTCTCTGTGGCCAAGCTAACATATTACATTATTCTGTTGCAACGTGTACAATGCTTCTGCAGAGATTGTTTTTGCATACTGCATGTCCTGGTAAAGCAGAATCTAATAAAAATGTTCAATTTGAATATGTATTTGTAAGCATAACAGGACCATCTGCTTTAGTGCCTCGGGAATTAACATACAGTTCCCTGAATACCTCAACCTTCGTGTTCTCATCTTGAAATCTCTTCACTGACCCTGGCAACTTTAAGTTCTCTACTTTCCTGAATTCATTTTTTAAATATTGGTTCTTATGACGTTAATCCTAAATCACATTCTACTATTTACTTTATATTTGTCTCCAGTTATTACTTTATTCTTTGTTATTTTTTGTTGAATGTATCTGTTTTCTTTACTAGTATACTTGTGTCTAGAAGACAGAAGTAATTTCCCATTCTTATATTACCTTCTGGGCACAACAAAATGCTTTTTGAATAAAAAGCATCCTTGAATACATATTTCTTAATATGTAACTGCACTAATTTTGAAAACTTTTATATTAGATGTGGTTATGAGGAGAATATTTAGAAGAATTAGAAGGCAACAGGTTGTTTGTGAATACATAAGTAGATTGGAAAAAAGTTAGGTAAGGACAACAGTTGTTGATTCTTACCATAATTTCTCAGGGTTCCTAGCATTTCACCTTACACTTTATTAATGCTCAGACTGTCGTTAACTAGAAAAAGAGTGCTTACCACTACCTGATAAGTAGAAAGTACTGAAGAAAAACAAAGGAGAAGTTAACCAAAATTATTTATGTCTATTAAATAATAGAGCAAAATTAGCCTAAGGGATAAGACACTAGCTTAATTAATGAACAAAGGCTTTTATTTTATGGTAGCATGTGCATGTTATCTTGAGGTTTTAATACATGTACTTTATTATATCAAAGGATAGGGAAACCTTATCACATTTTATTTATACTTGGGAACGTTATACCGAGAAAATTCACTTGTGCAGCTGGAGTCTGAAAGGAATAATCAAGTTTTTTCGTCTCACCATTTTTACCGTTCACTCTGTCTTATTTGCAGCATTCAGGCTGTGAATCAGTGAAGGAATTATTATCAGAAATAATTTTTAAATTGTTTTTATTGTGCTGGGTGGAATTTACATAAGTTTTTACAATGTTTTGGAAATAAACTTATATTAAGAGACCTTAGTTTGAAGAGAAAAGTTCATTATGAGTCTATAATAGAAGTCCCTAACAAGGGGGTTTAATTGAAGGAATATGAAATCTCTAACTTGATTTGGCTTATTTGGGCTACCTATTCAATAGCTACACTTTTGAGCAAGCTTCACATATTTTTATCTGGTTTTTGGATGCCTTTAAGTAAAAGCCAGAAACTAGGCACTGATAATTTAACAAGGTCATCACACACCAAACTGCACCAACTAGAAATTACAAAAACTGCCTCTTAACATATAATAACTTTTGATCTTTCCGGAACTTACAAATGTGAATGCTTGCAAATACTTAAGGAGATGTCTCAGCCTGGCAAGCCATAATTAGTGGTGTTTTATGAAAGTCTAAACTATTTCAATTGCTCATGCATTGTTCTTTCCATGTTTTCATTCAGTGAGCAATGTATTTCCCTTTTTTCCACTTTGTGTGAAGAATGAGGGTAGAAAACACCCATAATTCCATACTTCACTGAAGTATGGAACACATCCATCGGCTTAGAACAATCTCAAATTAAATTCTTTGTCCTCATTTTGGTCTTCATTGTGGGCAATTTGTAAACATCATATTTAAATATAAAGCTTTTTCTTAAAAATTTATGAACTCCAAATAATGGAAAAACAAATGAGATACTTAGTTTTATTGCTTGTCTCATTATCTCTTCTTTGTGAAGTCATTTAATTGTTCTCTATGCCTTTCTCAAAAATAAGAACTATATTTGTTCCACCTATAAAAACTTCTGGTAATTTTAATTAGCCAAGTTATTCTAAAAACCATATGCATGATGATACAGTATAAATAACCTAGTTTGTATTAGTAATGTGTTGAGACATTTGTGCACAAGTGGGTCTGTCTAGCAACATTGACCTAAAGGCCCTAACGTCATTGGTTAGCTATTGCAAGGGTTGTACCCGGAGGATGCCATATGTTGTTGGGTCTCCAGTATTGTCTTTTTTTAACTCTTCCCTTCTCTTTTTTCTCTTCTTTCTTCTCTCTCCTCTTCTTTTTTTCTTTTTTTGACAGTAGTGGGGTTTGAACTCAGGAGTTCACACTCATGATGTAACTTAAGTTACACCCCAACCCAAAATTCCACATTTCTATCTTCTGGTAAAATCTGGCAGCACTAGGTTTCCATTCCTGCATAGGAGCAACCATCTGGTAACAAAAGTCCACTGCCACCTGTGTCTGAAGCATGACTTTCCAGTGGTCACAGTCCTCATTACTTCCTGCCACTTGTTACTGATGTCATGCCCTCTGCTAGTGATCAGGAAGTTGGCTTTGCTACTTTCCTTTAACCTTGAACCTCTTTAATGTGAATAAGTATATACTTATTCACATTATTGTTTCTAGAAGTAGATACTCTATCAGGTACTTAATAAAGATAGGTAACTGATGTTTGTATGTGTTATAATATTATATCCCACAGTGTTGTGCCTATGACTTAACACTCAGCTCCTATTATTGGGTGAACTCTAAACTTTTCATCAGCTTCCAGCCTACCCTGAGTCTGGACTCAGGTGCCCACTTTATGGAACCTTTTCCTCAGAACCCTTTATCAGGATCCCTCTCCAGAACATTGAAGCTGTCCAGCATTACATTTTTTTTTTTCTTTCAGTACTGGGGATAGAAATTAGGGCCTCCTGCTTATTAGGAAAGTGCTCTGCCACTTGAACCCCTTTCCCCCCAGTCCTTTTTCTTTTAGTTTGTTTTTCAGATAAAGTCTCACACTAACTTTTTCTAGGCTGACCTCAGACTGTGATCCTCTTACCTCCATCTCCCATCTCATTGGGAGCCACCCACACCCAGCCAGCAGTCCATTCTTCAAATCTTTGTGTCTTCCCCCTTGGACTTGAAGCTCTGAGTCTTTCCTCTGTTTCTTTTATACAATCCTTTCACCAAAATTGCAGGCCACCTATAATGAATAATATAATTCACCCATTCCATGACTCTTCATCAAGTACCTACCTACTATTACCAGTTTGCTATATGTCTGATGGCAAAACAATGAGCAAAATAAACCCACTTTCTATACATCTTACATTCTAGATGAAGAAATAGGTAATAAAGTCACCAGCAATTCATATATAATCTGCTGTTAAGTAAAGAGCTATGAGGAAAAATACCAGGTAAGGACATAGAGAGTGGAGGTGGAGAGAAACTGTTTTTATATGTGACATCACCTTTTAGGAGCTAACTTTCAAACTAGTAACTGAATGGGGCAACAGAGAAAGCCAGAGGTAGACTGGAGAAACAAAGCCAGAGGGACAGTAGCAGGTTCTGGGATCCTAGAGGGGTAACAAACTTAAGGTCTTAGGATCAGCAAGAACTATGAGAGGATGGCAGGCTCAGACAGATCATGCACAAGCTTGCAGGCCATTCTACATTGTTGAGATTCTAGTCCAAGGGGAATGGGTATGCCTAGAGTCTTCTAGATGGGATTATCAGATCTCATTTACCAACTAATTTAAGCCCCAAGTTTTGAGATCCTTTTTGGGAAGGGGGTTGAGTGGAACAAAATTCTTAAGTGTTAGAATTCTGATTAAATTTAATAATAACCATCAAATTTAGTTTAGTCGATAGCAGCATTAGATTGACTCCACAAGTTGTTGATTTTTTTCCTAATAATATAGTGTCCAGAACAAAACAGAAAAGTGGTAGATGAGAAAGGTAAAAAATTACTTATACAACATGACATTAGCTCCTCTTTGAAAACAAACAGGATAGGTGAACTTAACTTCAGTTATTAAATTAAACCCATTTAAGGGGAAGCCCTGTATATTAATTTTCTACAGATACTAGTATACGTATGTTTTTTTTCTCAGTGGGTAGCAAATCCCTTAAAACAACTGTATTCTGAATTTTGAGGAGAGACCTTTTGATTATTATTAAAATGAACTACTTTATTAACCTGGTTCTTCTTAAAAAAATTTTTAGTGCCCAGGAGGAGCATTTACACCCAATATGAGAACAACCAAGGAATTCCCAGATGATGTTGTCACTTTTATTCGGAACCATCCTCTCATGTACAATTCCATCTACCCCATCCACAGAAGGCCTTTGATTGTCCGTATAGGCACTGACTACAAGTACACAAAGATAGCTGTGGACCGAGTGAATGCTGCTGATGGGAGATATCATGTACTGTTTCTTGGGACAGGTAAGTATTTGGGGCTCAAGCTATCCTTCAAAAGCATGTGCTTTAACCCAGGTAGTAGTTTGGGACCAGAAAGATTCCAGTGTTTCCTTTTGTCTGGTCTTTAGTGAAATAAATTACTTTCTGAGTTGTTATAAGAAACAAATGAGTTCACATATATAAAGCAACTATAATAGGTCTTGAAATATATTAAAATAAAAGATAAAATAATCAGCTGAATTAAGGACTGGAAGTAAATTTTAAGTATAGATAGTTTCTCTGAAGTGGAATAAATTCTGTTAGCTCTTAATCAATACCTGTACCATTTTCTAAGGGTAATGATAATGGTAGATAATGTGTTCTCTGTAACATTTGAAAGTGAATTTAATTCAAATGCATATAGGTTTTGGAAAAATATTACTGTTGCTATTTTTATTTATATATCTATTTATTTATCTGTCTGTCTATTTTGAACTCGGGGCTTCGCACTTGCTAGGTAGGCAATCTACCAACTTGAGCCATGTCTCCACTCTTTTTACTCTGGTTATTTTGGAGATAGAATCTCACTTTTTTGCCCAGACTGACCTTGAATCACAATCCTCCTGATCTCAGCCTCCCAAGTAACTGGATTACAAGTGTGAACCATTGGCACCCAGTTTCTGTTGCTATTTTAATACATCCACAAATTCATATTGTTAATTTGTTTTTATCATAACTTAAGTGAAAGTACTCTGGTCACAGAGACTTATATGATGTGAAAAGATTAGTAGTAAATATTTAATGATAGTAGTTTTCAAAGTGTGGTCCTCAGACTAGAAAAATCTTCACTATCGAAAACTTGGTCGAGTTAGTAATTTTCAGGCCCCACCGTAGGAATTCTAGGGACAAGACCCAGCCACCTGTATGTGAACAAATCCTTCTGACACTTCTGATGCTCCCTGAAACTTGAGAACCACTACACAAGAAAGGGAAACCTTGGCTGGCTGGTCAGACAATAATTAATAATGCACGTCTGTGCCTGGCTTATTTCACTTAACATAACATCTTCTAGACTCAGCCATGTTGCTGCAAATTGTAGGATTTCACACATCTTACAAACTTGTAAGCAATGATAAAAATCTCATCACTTTTCCTACTGTAATATCTGAAGTGCCCCCATGAAATATACTAGTTTCTCTTCTAATTTAGGAAATAGACACAAAATATGTCTGTAGAAGTCATTATAAAATAGGGCAGTGGTGGAAAATATATTTTGAATTAAAGAAGGAATTGCACTCAGATTTCAATCAGTGCTTACTTTTTCTTGGCTAAGTAAAATTTCCAAAATCTGCTGTTCTTATTTTATCCTTTTTTATAGTTTTTATAGTTCTTACATTTTTTATAGTTCTTATAGTTTATTATTTTATCCTTTTTTATGCTTGTACTTAAAATCTTAGATCTGAATTTTTCATTCTCATATAATTTCTGCTTGAAATAGCAGATAGAGAAATAGAGATAGAGAATCTTCTAAGATGTACTCTCTGTCATCCTCTCCCATGCTTGGGAATCCCTGAGTTTCCATTGGTCCCCTCTTCTCTTACCTGACACCTGAGGCATAAGCCTTCCTTCTCAGTCTAACCATTCCAAACTCTCTCTGCTCTCAGGTTTTATCCCTGCTTTTTTTTTTTTACCATTTCTAGGACCTTATTAATAATATCTCTTCTCTTTGCCTCATTTGACATTGTAGAATATTGCTTTGACTATTGTTAAAACCATCTATCACATAATTTCCTGCTTTCTCCTGTCTGTCATTAGCTGGTTTTCTTCTGCCCATAAGTGTAGGAAACTCTTTCTAGAGGTTCTATCCATGATCCTGATTTTATATAGTTCTTCAAAAACCTCATTTATTCATTTGGCTTCAGTTATCTATTCTGTGCAAACAAATTCAAAATGTATGTCATTAATTCTTGCTAACTGAGTATTTGAATTTGTAGTTCACTGGTAGATAACACACATTGTATAACCCATTAACATTTCAAGCACCATGCTTTAAACTCAATTTATCCGCTTCTAAGACTCAATCCAATCTCCTGTATTTGCGTTCACAGTTGTACATCCCTATCAAGCTTCTACCTCTTGTTGATATATAATTTTCTGTAGGCATATCATAGGACCTGGTGAGTTCAATAAATATTTTTCAAGACTAATTAAGAAGCATAATTATGTCCACTATTCCTCATGTACCAAAATGAATTCATAAATGCCTGCGAAAGCATTAATCTTCATTTTCATGTAAGCTTCACTCTCCTCAGATGTACATGACTACAAAAAATTGCTTTTATATCATCCAATGTGGAGTTTACATTTGAAAAACAAATTTTTTTCCTGAAACAAAGTGACAGTTTTGAGTTTCACCTATCCCTAGTGTCTCGTATTACCCAAAAAAGATAACTGTTTTCCTTTGAGGCCTATCTTAAAGGTAGCTTGTGATGCCCCAGTCAGTTTGTTTTTTTCATGAAAATCTACATAAACTATGTAGATTTCATGGATGGAATTTTCAATCCTCTTAAAACTGTTCAACAATGTTTATTCAAATAGAAGACAGTATGAAACATGCTTTTGCACAAATCCTTCGACTTTTCTTACCACAAAAGTTTCTGGCACCATAATGGACTTTTATATTGGTATTTAAACAATTGTGTCATTTTCAAAAACAATATTTAGGCACATGTTTTTAATTGTACTGGAAAGCCTCACTAAGGATTGCTTACAAAGCCTCATGAGTGTCTTAGTATCTCTATCCTAACAGGAAAATGTATGTGATAGCATTGTTTCTTCCAACAACATCTTTCTGCAGAGATGGTAACTCACTCACTTAACCACTGATCTTCATCCACACTGTCATATCAGGCTGCACTTAAGTTGGAAACAGTGATTTCAGTTTACCCGAAACTCTTAACAACTGGTATATTGATATAAAATATTTGCCGGTGAAATTTCTTTCAAAATAATTTTTTGTGTTTGTTGTTATAAGGGAACCATTTAGCATTTTCTGAAGTGACTCTTAGGGGAATTATAACTATTATCTCACAATTTCTTAGCTTTGTGTAAATAAATGGAAGAATACAACATTTCTTGGGTGTTGCCCAATTCCCAAGTATTCCTTCCACTGTCATATAAAAATAGTGGTTGCTTCAATTATGGTAACAAAGAAAAAAAAATTTATCCTGGCTTCACTTCTTCTCCCCCATCATGAGACATTCAGAAGGATTCAATGAAAACATCAAGAAAGATGCCATAGAGAAAGTCTGTGGCAGTTCATTATAAGGCAAGTAATATATCATGTAACTGTACTCAGTATGAGTATTATGAATGATTTTGTAGCTCACAGAATCTCCATGGTTAGTTGTGTGGGCTCAATGCCTAGTAACTGTTATAATTAACTCACTGTCATCGCAGAGTTTAACTGTAGCTGAGTTTAAGATGCTGAAAATCTGGCCTTCCACTCTCATTGGATTTCCTCAGATTGTTTTTTTATATTCTGCCAAATGCCAAGCAAAATAAAAAATTATGAAAAAAAAAAGAGTATGAGAGAGAGAGGAAGGAAGGAAGGAAGGAAGAGAAGGAAGGAAGGAAGGAAGGAAGGAAGGAAGGAAAGAAGGAAGGAAGGAAGGAGAGAGAAAAGGGATCTTTGTACTCTTACTTTATTTCTTTTTGTATTATCAATAACTGGTCTAGAGGTTATCCAACTGCAAACTATGAAACAAATCCAACCCATAGAATGTTCTGTGTGCTAATAAGCTAAGAATGTTGTTTTATATCATTAAATGGTTGGAAAATACAGAGAAGAACATTTCATGAGCAGTGAAAATTATAGGGCTCTTAGATTTCAGTGCTCATAAAGTTTTGTTAGAACTTGGCCACACCTATCTCTTCATGTGCTATTCATGGCTGCTTTCATGCTACAATGGAGTTGAGGAGTTGCCACAGAAACCATTAGCCACAAAGCCTAAAATATATATTTCTTGACCATTTATAGGAAAAGGTTGCTGATTTCTGTTTTCGGTTTATAATAATAAAAATAAAATTAATCTTAAAGAAGCTATTTTCTAATTTGTTGTAGAGGTAGTACAGGAACTAGCCATTTTATTAAATTTTAAACAAGAAGCTAAGTATACTTACTCATTTTTCCACTCATTCCTGCTACTACCCTCTCTATGAAAGATCATGATATATATATTGGTGTGAGTGTATATATGCATATATGTAATATCTGTGCTGTTTCTTTGTTTTATTCCACAGTATTTGTTAAATTTCTTTCTTTAAAACAATTTTGAGAAGGGTTGTAAAACAGTAGGCAAGGGTTCAAGTAGGATTTATATTTCTGTTTTAACTTTGCCACCTACTGCTATAGTCAGACCATTTTCTCAAAGCAAACTGTATAGCATAGTCAAGAGATTTTAGCCTATTTTCCTTTTTGCTTCTAGAGTTATGAAAATATTTAGGTGTCTGGGTCAGGTTCAGACACATTCAGTCAAATTTATATTTTTAGCAGTGTACATGAATCAGGGTGACATGTGGTTTTTGAGGAAAAAGTGATAGTGTTCTTGTGAATGGGTGTTAAAGGTTTAAGGTGATTTAATGTCATTTTGATTTTTTAATGTAGGGTCAGTACATGTGGTGTTCTGCCAAAATTCCTATGTGGCATATACTGTTTCATGCTCCTTATTAGCTTCTGTTTAACTGGGTAAGTACTAAACATGTGCCACTGCTAAACTGGAAACATTGGCTCCAGTAGGTCTTTTCAAAGTGTGGAGTTTAAAAGTATGTGCTACATCTGTTACTAAAGCCTTAAAATGCTTGCCTTGTGCATCAGAGGACAACTGAATTCATAGTTAACTAGAGGTTTTGGCATTCGCGGCTCTTGGAATGGCACACTTGATGAACTTCAGAGCCAGGAATTCTGATATTTAAAGACCCTAAAATACTCGAGTCTAAAATGTAGTGCATTTGAGTTCAGAAAAGTCTTCTGTCCGTTGGAAGTT